GGGTCTTCGGAGGAGACAGAATAGTCCAGAGGAAGGGAGCCGGTGAGGCGCTTGCTGGGCTGTGATGGGCGAGAGCGGGAAGGCAGCTGAGCCTGGTCATGCTGTGGGTCTGAAACCAGCCACGTCCTTCCCTGCCTGGAGGCTTTCTTAGAACCCAAACTGGTCCTCAGCAGCTCTTGGGCAGGACGTAAGATGCGGTCGGAGGGGCTCCCTGCGCATCCACCGTGAGACGCAGCCCTGTGAGGGGAGAGCGCTGGGTGCCTGGGGCCCTGGGCCGGGGGCTGGGAAGTTGGAGGGCGTGCTGTCGCTTCACTGCATACGTGGGCTCGTCCCTTCAAACGAATGTCCTAGCTTGACACAGAGCTGAAGAACCATTAGTAGCGCCCAAGATCTTCAAGGCCCAGACCTGAGGGGCCCGTTTCACCTTTACAAGACTCTTCCGTACCTACGAAGGAAGCACATCCCTTCCTCCTTCGAGCAACTTCCAGACCTGCCCTCTCTCTCGGATGCTCCTTCTCAGTCCCCTCCTTGACGTCTTCCTCACCACCAGCCCCACAAACAGTCTTTGGCAGGAAACCCCTACCCCCCTCCCTGGTTAAGGCCTCGGGAAGCTTCACCTTAAATGAGGTGGTTCTCAAAATGCTCAGCGCTTCAGGCCAAATGGTGGTAGGAACCCATTGGGTGCTCCTCCTTGGATGCCTCCCCCAAATCTCAAAGTGATCAGTCTAAAACTAAACTGGGCTTCCTTGGGGGTCCCGTGGCTGAGAACCTGCTTGCCAGGGCAGGGGATGCAGGTTCGATCCCCGGTCTGGGAGGAGCCCGCAGGCTGTGGAGCGACGGTGCTCCCGGGCCAAGGGCTGCACCTCCTGAAGCCTGAGCTTGGCGACAGAAGCCACCCCAAAGGGAAGCATGCGCACCGCAACTAGAGAGGAGCCCCCTGCTCACTGCAGCTAGAGAAAGCCCAGAGCAATGAACACCCGGCACAACCAAAAATTAATAAATACATCTTTAAAAAATAAAATAGAACAACAAAACTTCTTCTTTCTCCTTCATGCTAAAACCTATCATCGGCCTGACCTAACCTGATGAATTGCCTTCCTTCCACTAACTGTCCTGTGCCTTCTATTCCAAACTACCAGTGACCCAACCCTTGCCGACTCTACCTCTGGACCAGCTCTCCAGTCCATGCCTTCCTTCCACTGCCTGAGTCAGGTCCATTCCCCTCACAGGGTCACCCTGCCTGAAGTCTCTTTATTTACACCTCTCTTCTGGCTATTTACACTCCTCTTCTGGTTATACACTTCTCTTCTTAGACTGCAAGGAGATCCAACCAGTCAATCCTAGAGGAAATCAGTCCTGAATATTCATCGGAAGGACTGATGCTGAAGTTCCAATACTTTGGCCACCTGATGTGAAATGCAACTCATTAGAAAAGACCCTGATCCTGGGAAAGATTGAAGTCAGGAGGAGAAGGGGACAACAGAGGATGAGATGGTTGGACGGCATCACCGACTCGATGGACATGAGTTTGAGTAAGCTCTGGGAGATGGCGACGTACAGGGAAGCCTGATGTGCTGCAGTCCATGGGGTCCCAGAGAGTCGGACACGACCGAGTGGCACAACCAAAAATTAATAAATACATCTTTAAAAAATAAAATAGAACAACAAAACTTCTTCTTTCTCCTTCATGCTAAAACCTATCATCGGCCTGACCTAACCTGATGAATTGCCTTCCTTCCACTAACTGTCCTGTGCCTTCTATTCCAAACTACCAGTGACCCAACCCTTGCCGACTCTACCTCTGGACCAGCTCTCCAGTCCATGCCTTCCTTCCACTGCCTGAGTCAGGTCCATTCCCCTCACAGGGTCACCCTGCCTGAAGTCTCTTTATTTACACCTCTCTTCTGGCTATTTACACTCCTCTTCTGGTTATACACTTCTCTTCTTAGACTGCAAGGAGATCCATCCAGTCAATCCTAGAGGAAATCAGTCCTGAATATTCATCGGAAGGACTGATGCTGAAGTTCCAATACTTTGGCCACCTGATGCAAAATGAAACTCATTAGAAAAGACCCTGATCCTGGGAAACATTGAAGGCAGGAGGAGAAGGGGACAACAGAGGATGAGATGGTTGGACGGCATCACCGACTCGATGGACATGAGTTTGAGTAAGCTCTGGGAGATGGCGACGTATAGGGAAGCCTGACGTGCTGCAGTCCAAGGGGTCCCAGAGAGTCGGACACGACTGAGCAACTGAACAACAGCTTCTGGCTGTGGGTACTTGCTTCCTTGACTTGGAGGTGCTCAGACATTTGTCATCTCTATGCTAGACTAGGACTTCTTTGGACACACAAACTTGTTTTGTTTTTGCTCTTTGTCCTATGTTCCCATGTGGTAACATCATGCTTTGCACATAATAAATATTGAATAAATAGACTTGGCAATAGAAAATGAATTTTCTTAAAATGATGGTACTTATTCCCCCAAACTGCAGCTCATTAGATTACCATCTTCTCGGCTAACAACACTATATATGCACACACACTGTACACACACATACACAAGGGATGCCCTTAACTATCTGAAGTCAACCTTCTGGCAAACACAAAGACAGGAGCTCTCTCCTAAGTAATTCAAACATAAATCGGTTAATAGTCTTCATTCCCAGTTTTCCTTGAGTGAAATGACACAATGCTTAGTGGCAAATGAGAAACAATTTTGCAAATCTTTCTCCTCCCAAAGGCCACCAAACATGGGTCCTGCATCTTCCTGTCTTGCATTTTGATCCCATTGCTATGACTTAGTGTGGTAATTATATTACAAAGCTATTATTTGCTGAAATGAAAATGGCAAAACAATTTACATGCTTGTCTAAAAAAAGACTGTGTTAGAATGCAACTGTCAGTAAAATTACAACGGCAAAATAACTGAAAGGTGAAGTCTGGAAGGCGCAGTTGTGAAACCATTATAAAGTTTCTGTGGGGGGACTCACAGCATGGAGTGAAAGCATACACTCCTGGGGACACATTTTTAATTCAAAAAAGCAGGCACCATTTATGGGGAGATGAAAACATCTGTGTTCCAATAGCTCCCCAGCATTAGCTACACTTGTGAACGCCGCCTGGGGGTGTGTGGCATTGTCACGGTTTATGGGTTTATGGGACAGACTGATAAGAGCACCATGTGGGCCACTGCGCCTTCCTTCAGCACCAAGAAGATGAAAGGGAAGCTCGGCTTCGATTTTTCTGCTTCCAATATAAAAGCGAGGGTCATAACATGAAAAGTCTATATTCAAGCCTGAAAGCATTAAATGTTTGTGTATTAAAATAGATGTGTTTCTAAGGATCTGTTTTCTTAAAATATTCTGCTGATATATTCCATTAGGAAAATCTTGATAAATATTTTAATGCCTGGTAGGTAGATTTACTCACCAAAGGGGGAAAAAAAATTAGAGTGCTATCTATGAAACAGATATGCTGAAATGATGGATTTGATGACTTTGGACCCTCCTCTGACCCCTATTCTGCATTTCGATGGGTGAACACACAGATGAGTCCACCAACAAAACCCATGCAATCCACACCCCTGTGCTCTCCCCTTCACCCCCTCCCAGACTGCACCTGTGGGTCTACCTCTGCCAGTTGAGCAATTAAAGGAACAAATGAGTACGTCAGACACAGAAATACAAGTATCACGTTATATCACTACATGTGGAATCTAAAAAAGTGATGCAAATGAACTTATTTACAAACCAGAAATGGACTCACAGACACAGAAGACAAACATATGGTTGCCAAAAGGGACAGGAGAAGGAAGGGATAAGTTAGGAGTTATATTATATTATATTATATATAATAATATATATTAATGTAATTACTATATATATTATATTATATGCTATAAATTAGGAGTTACTTACTAAACCACAAAAAGACCTGTATAATTTTGTTTTTCAAACTTTAGTTTTAAAAAGTCTGTTGGAAACAGAGACACCGAGTATTCTTACTCTTTCACAGACTCTGAAACACATAGAGGTTCAATATGCACATAAACGTGTTCTCTGAGCAGAAGGGGTTTGAAAGGTCTCGTGATTTAATGTACCGCATGTCTGACGTGGCCCTTAAGTTTTGGGGATAGTCTGCTGTGGGCATGCTTCTTGTCCTTCTTACTTTTCCTCCCACAGGGAAGGTTAAGTACAGCTTTGTAACAATATGAATGAACCTTGAGTGCTGTAGTAACTTTAAAACAAAAGTCAAGTTTGCTCTCTAGATCCTTTATAGTGAGGTCATATGGTTTTAATACATATAATTTAAACATTAATATGATTTGAAATTGATTTTAAGTCCTATGAGGAAAGGAAGCTTTTTCATTGTAGGCACAAGAGTACAAATTTAGCAAAAGAAAAAGTCATCTAAAGAAAATTCTATAAATAAGGGTAATTGAAAAAAACCAACAGACAAACATACACTTAGATTATAGAAAAAAATGAAAATTTGGAGGGTCCCAAAAGTGTTTAAACCACAGTATTACACATAAAATTTGGAATTTGAAATGACATTTATCAGAGTTTGGAAGAATTAACCTCTATATTTAGAAAAATGTCAGGTAAGTTTCACATAATAGCTTTATTAACTTCCAAGGGCATGTCTTTTGAAGTTAATTAAGGAGAACCTAATCCAACATTTATAACAGTGTAAGTTAAAAATATATTGCTCTAACTTACCTTGAAATGCATAAAAATAAAAGTGGGATAGATGGATGGATAGATAGGCAGCTAGGTGATAAAGAAAATACAGTAAATGTTAACTATAGAATCTAAGTTAGAAATAGGTAGAAATATATGGGTATTACAATTCTTTTGATTCCTTTGCAGGTTTTAAATTGTTCAAGTGTTGGGAACAAATGCTGGCCTCCATATGGAAAGCATGTATTCTATTTGTTAACTGCCCTCAACAAACAGAGCAGTTTCAGAGTGTGTCTCTCTGCTGGGATGCACTCACCTAGCCACCCGGATCCTGAATTTGGTATGCACAGGTCTGTCTCGGCGCTTGGCAGCACGAAGCCGACGACAAACACCTCCACGCCGTCCGCCATCAGCGCCATGCCCAGGACAAAGAACAGGGCCCACTGAAAGCGGCCATGCCCGCACTCCTGGATTATCAGCTCATACTGCTGGGCAAGTTCTTCCTCGTCAGCCTTCCTCTCAGACTCCAGCTCCTGGCGGTCCTTGTACTCATTGCCCTTGGGCTGCCCTACTGACACGATGCTATCCTTCCCTTGGTTCATGTTGGGGATGCCCTGATACTCCCCTTCGTAGATTTCATCATCTTCATCGTGACCCTCAGTAGCCTCACTGGAGCCTTCATCATCATTGGCCTCTCCATTATAGGTTTCCGCCGGCGGATAAACCTCATCGTCCTCTTCCTCGTCTTGGAACCGACTGTAGGACCTCTGGGTGTATTCATCCTGGGCCCGGTCCACTGCCTGATTCACCCTTTTTACAGTCTGCTTCTTCACCTCTCTGGCAATGTCCTTGGCACCCTTCGCCAGTGAAGTCCCATCCTTATACGAGTCTTCCATCTTACCTCAACTGACGGCCAGTGAGAAGGTGCAGATGTTTCACAGACTCTGGTCAGTGGTTCAGTCCCAACAGCATCATCCACTTTGAGTTCAGAACGGAACTGCAAAACAAGAAAACCCGCAGAAGGTATTTATTATTTGTTTTGATGCCTTTTCCGCCATCTATTTCTTGGTCTCTTTTCACTGACCCCACAGATTAACATACAGAATTAGTCTTTCCTTTCTTTTGAGCACACTGTCTCTTGGTTCTCTATTCAAGTGCTATCAGAACTTGGAGTATTTAGGGTTTTGCTATTATTATTACTGTTTTGGTTTTAAGGAACTCTGTCTCCTGGGTAACTTTGCATATAATGCACAAGCATTCCCCTGAAAATACAATGAAATATCTTGCACCTTTATAAGCACATCCAACATATTCTGAAAGTGTTAGAAAGACTCTGAGAAAAATAATATTGCTTGAAGGTATATACATATTGTGCAAAGGCAAACCCAGAATAATAAAAGAATCCAGTCTGACCTCATTTCCTCACAACGAAAAAAATGAAAACAAAACGTGCAAGCAAGCATCCCTACATATAATGCTATCAAATCATATACAGGCACATCTCATTTTACTGTTCTTTGCTTTATTGCACTTTGCAGATACTGCATTTTCAATAAATTGAAGGTCTGTGATAACCCTCAGTCAAGCAAATCTATCGGCACCATTTTTGCAACAGCATTTGCTCATTTTGTTTCTCTGTTACATTCTGGAAATTTTTGTAATACTTTAAACTTCTAAATTATTATTATATTTGTTATGTGATCTGTGACCAGTGATCTTTGATGTTGCTACCATGACTTGCTAAAAGCTCAAGTGATAGCATTTTCAGCAACAAAGTATTTTTAATTAAGGTATTATACATTATTTTTTTTAGATATAATGCTATACCACAGTTAATAAATTACAGTATAATATAAACATAAATTTACATATACTGGGAAACCAAAAAATTTGAGTGACTTGCTTTATTGCAATATTCACTTTACTGTGGTGGTCTGGAACCAAACCCATAATATCTGAGTTATGCCTACAAATATTTATAAAACATGCTTCCCCTCTACCTTTTTTGTATCTCCTTTCAATAAATGTAACAGAGACTCACATGGCACCCAAAACAGACAATGAGTATTTCCCCCCGGAGTATGGCAGTCATATCTGTAGGAAATTGGCAGGGTTTGTCAAATGACTTCACACACACTTTGACAGTCGTTGAACTAGAACGCGTGAATTGTCCAATAGGGATGTGCCATCTCAGGATCCACCCCCAGGCCAGCAGGGACAGGTAAGCCAAATGTGGTATCCCTTCCCAACATGCCCTGTGAGAACCACAGGCTTTGTCCCCACTGTCTTCATCTCTAGACACGGTCTCACACACGCGGGTGTACACACCCCCTCCCGCCTTGTCCAACTGCAGTTATCTGCTTCCCTGGACACCAGAGTCAGCAGCCTCCCCTGACCCATCACTGGGTTTCTTTTCTCACAGACAGCCCCTCTGTCTTGGCTCACTACACCCAGGCTGACTTCTTTCACTTGTCTGCTGAGTTGTCCCCTCTGGTGGCCGGTATCAGGCCCACCTTCGACAGAAATGTTATGAAAGTGAAAGTCATTCTCCTGCATCATTAATTTGCCAAGCCCTGTGCGGCAGCAGTACTCTGAACACTGATTTATATAACAGTCATTTTTACTTTGTCCTTTTGCATCCAGTGTGAAACACTTGGTAAGTGGCTATTACAAACATACATTTAAACTACTCATCCAGACATGACAAACAAACAGCAAAAAAGACAAAAAGATGCTTATTTATCAATGAATTGGGCATCATTACTACCAGATACCTACAAATGGCTAGTAGGCAAAACAGAAGCATGGCTCTGCTCAGGCCTGTGTCTTGGAAGATGAAAAAATGAAATGAACATAAAAATATGATTATAAGGCTTTTTTTTTTTTGCCAAATGTATTTGTGAAGGATGTTCCTGTTTGGTCTCCCTTATCGTTGGTTTTTTTTCCTTTTTTTTTTTTGGAGAGCTGAGAGGTGGGGGAGGGAGGGATGGAAGGATCCACGAGAGAGCAAGATGCAAAGGGAGTGGGAAAAGAGGCTGAGGATGGAGCACTCTGAAACTGAAGGAGGAGGCAGGGAAAGAGAGAAGGGAGAACAATGATAAATAATACTGGCAACAGAGAAATGTTTCCTATTGTTAAAACATCTCACACAATAAGTATAGCCAACTGGTCTACCATCCATAAACGGATGATTATATCAGACACAGCACATCAGCTGCTTCCTGGGCACAACAGCACCAAAACCACCATTGAAGGGAAAGAGTGGTGAGTGTGAAAGCAGAGTCCAAACCCCTGTGACATGCGACCGTGAACAGCCTGCCTGTTAGTAATGGGAAGCTTCTACAATTACTTCTTCTAAGAAACAGCAATTCCCTGGTGGCTCAGACGGTAAAGCGTCTGCCTGCAGTGCGGGAGACCCGGTTCAATTCCCCGGTTGAGAAGATTCCCTGGAGAAGAAAATGGCAACCCACTCCAGTACTCTTGCCTAGAAAATTCTATGGATGAAGGGGCCTGGTGGGCTACAGTCCATGGGGTCGCACGACTGAGCAACTTTTCACTTCACTTTCACAATGTGACTAAATGAAATCAACTCTGAATATTCACTGGAAGGACTGATGCTGAAGCTGATGCTCCAATACTTTGGTCACCAAAGATTGAAGGCAAAAGGAGAAGGGGGTGGCAGAGGATGAGATGGTCAGACAGCATCACTGACTCAATGTACATGAATGTGAGCAAACTTTAAGAGACAGTGAAGGACAGAGGAGACTGGCATGCTGCAGTCCACGGGGTTGCAGAGTTGGACACGACTGAGCAACTGAATAATAACAATAATGCATTACTCCAAACTAACACACATTTTAATTAATGATTAATGTCAGAAAGAAAGGAAATATTTTATATTCATAACCACCCACACTACAAGCAGAGTTGATTGTAAACAACTAGATACATCTTTCTGTTTCATATGTCTGAAAATGGTGATTCTCAAAAGAGCTTAAAATCATTTTTATTGAGGTATAATTTACATTCAATAAAATGCTCTATTTTTATGCATATTAAAAGTATAGTCCAAGAGAGTTGACTGTACACCATATACTTTATGTTTATTCTGGCAAGAAATGTTTGTTGAAAGGCTTATTCAGCATGGGTTTCAAACCTCTGTCCTTTATATTAACAGTCTACAAAAAAAGATCAGCATCCTAAGCTCCAGATTTTTGTGGCCTGGAGCCAGGCTCTGGAGACAGCAGAAAGATCAGAAGATGGACATAGCCTTGTAGAAGTTCTGTGTATTGTGTAAAAACATCCACATTGCTACTTTATATAGCCTAGCCTTGTGAAATAGTAATGATCTTTGAAGGTAACCGGCATTAAAATGCACAGCCCCCTATCTGCAGTGAGACAGCATTCTGAAAAGGAGATTTTGGAAAGAGAAGAACACCTTTTGAGCTAAGGAATGGATACTGACCCATCATCCCAGCCTGCCCAAATTTTTGACAGCAGACTCTAGTCCTTCAAGGATGCCTCTTCCTCTCCAAACTTCTGCACTTAAGTGTATATTCCCACTCTTCAAGGGGCAGGTCAAAGGCCACCTCTCTCATGAAGTTTTTCCTTTTATTTTTTGCGTAAACTATCACAGATTCCCAGTTCAGCATGGCTGGTTTCCTCCTGACATGCAATCTTGTCTTCCCTTCATGGTTACCCATGAATGCTGAAGCTGAAGCTCCGACACTTTGCTCCCTGATGAGAAGAGCTGACTCATTAGAAAAGGCCCTGATGCTGGGAAAGATTGTAGGCAGAAGGAGACGGGGACAACAGAGGATGAGATGGTTGGACGGCATCACCGACTCAATGGACATGAGTTTGAGTAAGCTCCGGGAGTTGATGAAGGACAGGGAAGCCTGGCATGCATGGGGTCACAAAGAATCGGACACGACTAAGCGACAGAACAACAACAATGAACGCCATGGTCTTCCCTATTGGAGTGTCAGCTCCTTGAAAAGAGGAACCCGGTAAACTAAAACACTATAAAGCAGCATTAATAAATGAGGACCCAAGAACCATAAGAGGGCCAAATCTCTAATTTCCCACTTCATGAGAGTTGTCTGTGTTAGCATCGCCCCAGAGTGCAAGTGGATCACGTGGTTCTCCTTCTGCTGTTAGAAGGAAAAGTTCTACAGCCAAATCAATTGGGAAATTGCTATTTCTGACTTCATATATTCTTTTCCAGGAGCGCCACAGTGCAAAGCTTGTTATAAAGAACTTTGCGTAAATGTGTTATCCAACTATTTCCCAAATCTTCCTAATAACAGAATGCCCCTACCCTCAAAATGACACCAAAATAGCAGTCTTCATTGTACACTATGAGAAATACTGTGTTAAGATAAATACCAAGATCCTTTAAAATTCTAATGTGTCTATTATGAAATATCATAAAACTCAGTAATTAGAGTTAATTGAGGGAAACAGGATAAAACCAGAAAGTCTACACTAAAATAACATTTTAAAAATGAAACAGTGTTTCTTTCAAGTTTATAAAAAACTGAAACTAAGTTTTCAAAAAGTAATCCTTATGATTTTTAAATAGACTATCTACAAAAATAGAGTATTTAGCATACCTGCATATTTTTGAATAAGTCATCCAAAGAGCCAGAAAATTTTAAGTATGTTTAATATTCCTTTTATGCAATTTTGACACAATAAATTTGCTCTATGAGGAACAGCTCTCCTAAGCCAGGATAAACTCACCCCAACAGTTGTCTAAATCTCTTCAAATTTCATAGTAGTGAAATCTAAAGACTTTAACCAAATAACAAACCTGCTTATGTACATGAACTTTTCTGAAGGTCCTAGACCTCTTGTTAGAAAGAATATTCTTGAGTCAAAGTGAGTACTACTCTCTTAAGGAAGTATCTGAATTTAATTTAATACAATAATATTCTTTCTGATTACAAAACTAAAACACACAAGAAATAATTGGAAAATTCAGAAAAATGACAA